TCATACAGAAGGAGCATTTTAAAAAGCAACAATTAAGTAAATATTTAATGGTTGGCACTTCAGCTTGAGAAAGGAGAAATCAGGATGGATTCCAGGAGAAATCAGGCTTTTCTGAAAAGTAGCATGGCATCTGCCAATAGTGCTCTGCTTTAATAATGATGCAGATTGTAGCCGAATTCTAACCATATAACAACTTTCAATAGAGCTATTTCTCACTGCTTCTAGTTAGCAAAAATTGTAACAATTCCTTTCCTCCTAAAATATAGGATAGTACGCATATTTAAACCTAAGTATTTTTAGAACCCATATAACAAAGTTACCTGATCCAGCAATAAAGTAAAACTACTGTAGGGGCGAAGTCTAACAAATACTTAACATAATAGGATTAAATCCTCCAGCAGTTTAAAAAAGTGATGACATCTTATTATAACGAAAATTCTCTGTTACGAGATTATTTCACCTTTAAAAATTACTTACAAAGACTAAATAAAGATTTCAGAGCAAAGAAGCCCGTCTAGAATTGGTCAAAAGTGTAAGCGTATTATGAGGATTTTTTCTGCATTATCCAGATTGTCACAGAAACTGATAACTCAGCATCTAGGAATAATGAAGATTTTTGTAGAATAGCCAAATAACTGTTAATTGATTTTATTTAGTTAACTTTGAGACAATGTAACTTTTAGCAAATTAGAACTTTAAGGACTTAAAAAGTGCAAAAATATGATGAACTTGAAGAAGCTGTTGGATTACAGGACCACCATTAATATCTAGCAAGAACATAACTGTACCTAAACCAGTATCAAAGGATGCCTTTAAATTTAGAATGAATTATGCAAACCTTTTAAAAGTTTATTTGAAAACTGAAGGGTTGGAGCAAGTACTAACAAAGTCAGACATGTACAAACACATTTACAGTTTAAGTGTTATGTTAACCAGAATGCCTACAAGGCAAAAGGTGGCCTAGCTGGATTACACACAGGTGCCATAAATGGAAGAAACCAGGTAACATCTAAGAAATTAATAAAATGGGCCAGAAGGAATAAAGCTGGGGGCAGAGATAAGTATGGACCAGAAAGTCAAAATAACTTGATAATCCTCCACATCTTAAGGAGCAGATTATCCACAATCTTGAGTCAAGGGACTGCTGAGAATGCAGATGTAGATAAGAATCCACCTCTTTACTGGAAATCATAAATCGAAGGTAGGAATCCCCTAAAAAGTAATAAAACTGTTGCTAACTAATCCAGCTCTCTCTGTAGATAAGAGTGCATTTGTGTATCTTAAGAACTAGAGGGCCCAAAGAAGTGACTAGAGCCCAACTCTCACCTTTAATTCATTCTACAAATCTTTCCCTTCTAAAATACAGGACTGGGAATTCCCTGGCTGTCCAGCTGTTAGGACTCCATGCTCTCACTGCTGAGGGCCTGGGTTCAGTCCCTGGATGGGGAACTAAAAATCCCACAAGCTGCACGGTGCAGCCAAAAAAAAATAATTATTTAAAAAAGTATAAATAAAATACAGGACTGTTTAATTCATTCCACAAAGACTTATTGAATGTTTATTTTCCCAGGCATTGTGTTGATGAAAGAGGTTACCAAAGTGAACAAGACACAGTCCCTGTCCTGGAGGATGTATAGCTTAAGGGAAAAGACAAACACCTAAGTAGAAAGTGGTAAAGTAATGTGGTCAATACATTTATGCCGTGTGTTCTGATAACGGAGGGGATCACTCACTTAGCCCAGCCCAGAAATAGGTCAGGGAGAGAAATTAGGGTTACTATGTTGGATATGAAAGGATACCTGAGCTAGATCTTAAAAAATGAGAAGTTAGTAAAGTAAGTAACAGAGAAAAGAACATTCAAGAAAAGGGAACAAATAATAGGAGCAAAGGATTGAGCATGAAACAATCCTTTGATGTATGATAAGAGGGTGAGGTGTGAGGTACCACTGGTAGATTATTATTATTCTTCTTAGAATGTAAGGATAGAGATGCTGAGGGGTAGGAGAGGAGGCTGACAATGTACAGGTCAGATTATGGAGGGACTAGAATGCCACACAAAGATTCTTAAACTTTATCTTGTAGGTCATGGGGAACCACTGTTAAGTGGAGAATGATACAGAATCACATTTCACATAAGGCACTCTGGCAACACTGTGGTGGATGAATCTGAGAGGGAGCAAGATTGGAGGTCGGGGATCAGTTAGTAGACTACTGAAATAGTTCAGGAAAGAAATAATGAGGTCCTGAACTAACAAGTGACCTTCTAATAAAAACCCCAATAATCCAGGATGATCAAAGTGTAGTAGAAGAACAAAAAACTAATGCATTGATATATATGTGAACATACAATACATAATATTTATATATCACATATATTTTTATATGTACATATATATATGCTTTTTTGCTACTATTACATTACATTATAGATTGTGCCTTTCTACATTAATCAAAAAGGACAGGTAATTCCGTGGTGGTCCAGTGGTTAGGGCTCCTCACTTCCACTGCAGGAGGAACCGATTCGATCCCTGGTTGGGGAACTGAGAGCCCGCAAGCTGTGGTGCGGCCAGAAAAAAAAAAAAAAAAAAAAAAAAGGACAAAGAATTTACGAAAACAAAAAGGAAAAGGGAAGCTACAATTCAAAGCATTCTATTTATCGTAGAACTAGCAATTAATAATAAATTGTTTAAAGACACAGACCTACTAGAGAATGGACTTGAGGATATGGGGAGAGGGAAGGGTAAGCTGTGACAAAGCGAGAGAGAGGCATGGACATATATACACTACCAAACGTAAAATAGATAGCTAGTGGGAAGCAGCTGCATAGCACAGGGAGATCAGCTTGGTGCTTTGTGACCACCTGGGGGGTGGGATAGCGAGGGTGGGAGGGAGGGAGACGCAAGAGGGAAGAGATATGGCAACATATGTATATGTATTACTGATTCACTTTGTTATAAAGCAGAAACTAACACACCATTGTAAAGCAATTATACTCCAATAAAGATGTAAAAATGAAATAAAATAAAATAAATTGTTACCCCCAAATGAGTTATTTTACTGGAAAAATAAATAGAATTCTGCTAGAAATTTAAATTTAGAAGGAGGAATATTATTTAAAATGTATCCCATAAAGCATCTGAAATCAAGAACATTATCAGATTTCTCAGAATAATTTATTAACAAAGAAAATCTATATACTAGATCTACATAAATTAAAAGCAATAATATAATTTAATAAAGAAAACAACATGACCTTAGTAACAATTTATTGTGAACCTACCTTGCCATGTGTACCATTTACTATTCGTAAATCTTAGTGAGGTAGGACCACTATATTCATTTTGCAGATGAGAAAATGAAAGCTCAGATAAGTTTACTTACCTAATAACCAGGACTTAAAGTTTGTCTGATTTTAGATGTCTGGTTTACATGTAGCCACATGTAAATAAGACTGTAAGCATTTCACAAGAATATTTTTATTTCACAAATACAGCACTTCATATCAGAAAGCCAAGATTAGGTTTGGGCAATAGAGCTAACACTGGGGTCAAAGAGAACTTGGTTTATATCTAGACTTTACCCCTTACTAGCTGTGAGAATTTGAGTTAACTTCTCTGAGTTTCAACAAGCATAAAAGAGGTTAGAAGCCTTCAAAGTGTTCCTGCAAAGATCACAAAGTAACCAGTCCAGGTAAGTAATCAATTAATAGTAGCTAATGCTATTATTCATAAATCAATAAAATGTATAAATAAAACTAATACACTGCATTAAAATTGAAATAAAAAATTAATTTAGGAAAAGAACACCCTTTTCCCCCGCTATGAATGTTTCTTTAGCCATAATAGGCATATTATTTACAACAGAATACCTAACTCATAAGAATATATAGTCAACTCTTGATAATCCAATAGCATATTAACTGGTTTGCAGTTAATCTGTGATTAAAGTGCCATAGTAACCCAGCTTTTCCTCCCTTGTTAGAGACAAGTTGGTTAGGAACCTGTGATGCCCAAACTCTTCCCTCAACCACACATACACTGTAGCTCCCAAATCCCCACCACAGCATTTCCACCCCAAGTGCTCTGGTCCCTGCCTTGGCACTTCAAATCCCACTGCTGGGGAAAGCTGAGAGAGGACTGGAATAACCAGTACTTGCCACCACATTAGTGGGTCCCCTAGCGAATAATTCTTCCTACATTTTTTGTGATATTTGTGACGTGATCCTCACTCCCCTGTAACTCTACCACTTACGCCAGTTAAGAGCTGACAATATTGAAGAAGTATAACTTAGAAATCTGTGAGCAACTTTAAACCATTTTACTTGATTAAAAAAAAAAAATTTCTTGGGCTTCCCTGGTGGCACAGTGGTTGAGAGTCCGCCTGCCGATGCAGGGGACACGGGTTCGTGCCCCGGTCCGGGAGGATCCCACATGCCACAGAGCAGCTGGGCCCGTGAGCCATGGCCGCTGAGCCTGCGCGTCCGGAGCCTGTGCTCAGCAACGGGAGAGGCTGCAACAGTGAGAGGCCCGCATACCGCAAAAAAAAAAAAAAAAAAAAAATTTCTTGCCGTATAGCACAGGGAATTCTACTTCACTTCGCTGTACAGTAGAAACTAACACAACATTGTAAAACAACTATATCCCAATTAACAAAAAAATTTGTTTGCAAAACAAAATAAATTCTTGCCATTATATAACCATTTTAAGTTATATGTTTTTAGTTGGCTTAAATAGTTCAATACTAACTATAATATTTAGTTACTATTAAAATTCAATACTAACTATAATATTTAAAATATTACTTAAATGATTCAATACTAACTATAATATTTAGTTACTACTACTAAATATTTTAATAGTTTAGTATTTTAATAGTTAAACTTAGTGATATCACAAAGAATTAAATAATAAACCCCAGGTAAACAGTCCCTGAGGCCCAAGTTAACACTGTATAAATACTGCTATGTATATTATACTTCATAAAAATATTTTAAAAATTACCTTGGTGTTCTTCTAAATCCATGTCAAGTTGTCTAATTTCTTCATTAAGCTGATTTATTTTTTCTTTTATATCTGTTAACCTGTTGAAAATATTATTTAATGAATTTATGGCAGACAATTTAGATATTCAGTAAAAACATTTAGTTATGATGTTATGAAATCTTACATCTTTTTGAATCTGCAGAAACAATATCAATAAATAATATGCTTTATTCTGAGGACAATACTATAAATTTGAGAGAAAAATCTTTTTTCATGATTCGCATTTAGAGTACAAGTGTGTTCTGAGAATGCTGGCTTGCCTGACTTCAACAGTAGACCCTTCCCCCACAGCCATCTTTTGAGCTTTACTTGTGATATTAAGAAAATAAAAAATCTTTAGCAACCTTCTTTTTGTAGGTTTATATAAACGAAACTAAGTTAGCAAGTTTGTCTTAAAAGTTAGAAAATAAGAGAAAATTTACCATTGAGAGAAGATTATATGGGTTAAAATTTTAACAAAAGCAGTTGTACTTATTACAAAGCTATAGTAATCAAGACAGTATGATACTGGAATAAGGATAGACATATCCTTTTAAGGATAGACAATGGAATAGAATTGTGAGCCTAGGAATAAGACCCTGTATCTATATACAATTGATTTTTGACAAAGGTGCCAAAACAATTAAACAGAGAAAGAACATTAAATAATATTTCTTGAAAGAATATTTCAACAAATGGTGCTGGGATAACTGGATATACACAAGCAAAAGAATAAAACTGGACTCCTACCTCATACCATACACAAAAGTTAACTAAAAGTGGGTCATAGATCTAAACATAAGAACTAAACTATAAAACACTTAAATAAAAAAACATAAGCATAAATCTTCAAGAAATTGAACTAGGCATTGGTTTCTTACATATGACACCAAAAGCACAGACGACAAAAGAAAAAAATAAACCAGATATAATCAAAATTTAAAACTACTGGGACCTCCCTGGTGGCGCAGTGGTTAAGAATCCGCCTGCCAATGCAGAGGATACAGGTTCGACCCCTGGTCTGGGAAGATCCCACGTGCCGCAGAACAAATAAGCCTATGCACCACAACTACTGAGCGTGCACTCTAGAGCCCGTGAGCCACAACTACTGAAGCCTGCACACCTAGAGCCCATGCTCCGCAACAAGAGAAGTCACTGCAATGAGGAGCCCGGGCACCGCAACAAAGAGTAGCCCCCGCTCGCTGCAACTACAGAAAGCCCGTGCACAGCAATGAAGACTCAATGCAGCCAAAAATAAATAAATAAATTTATTTAAAAAATAAAGTCTTAAAAAAAAAATTTTAAACTTTTGTGCTTCAAAGGACACCATAAAGAAAGTGAAAAGAAAACCCAAATAATGGAAGAAAAATTTTGTAAATCATTTATCTGATAAGAGACTTTATTTAGAGTATATAAAGAGCTCTTACAATTCAATAATAATAAATAACCCAATTTAAAAATGGGCAAAAGCACAGGGAGATCAGCTTGGTGCTTTGCGATGACCAAGAGGGGTGGAATAAGGAGGGTGGGAGGGAGGCTCAAGAGGGAGGGGATGTGGGGATATATGTATGCATATGGCTGATTCACTTTTTTGTACAACAGAAACTAACACAGTATTGTGAAGCAATTATACTCCAATAATGATCTATAAAAAAAAAATAAATAAATTTTAAAAATGGGCAGAGAATGTGAATAGACATTTCTCCAAAGAATATATATATATGACCAATAAGTACAGGAAAAAAAGTTTAACATCATTCATTAATCATCAGGAAAATGCAAATCAATGATACCACTTCACACCTACTATGATGGCTACACAGTAATCAAAAATGACAGATAATAACAAGTGTTGGTGAGGTCATGGAGAAACTGGAACACTTATACACTGCTGGTGAAAATGTAAAATGGTGCAGCTGCATTGGAAAATAGTCTGGCACCTCCTCAAAAAGTTAAATATAGAGTTACCGTATGAACCAGCACTCCTAGGTAAATTCCACTCCTAGGTAAATACCCAAGAGAAGTGAAAATATATGTCCACACACAAAAACATGTACACGATTGTTCATACCAGCATGATCCACCACAGCCAAAAAATAGAAACAATCCAAATGTCCATCAATTAATGAATGGATAAATAAATATAGTATAGCCACACAAATGGGATATTATTTGGCAATAAAAAGAAATGAAATACTGATACATGCTACAACACAGATGAACCCTGAAAACATTATGCTAAGTGTTAAGAATCCAGCCACATAGGGCCATATGTTGTATGCTTTCATTTATATGAAATGTCCAGAACAGGCCAATCTACACAGACATAGGGTACAGTGGTTGCTTAGGGCTGGGAACGGGGGATGAGAGGTATGATGGTTAAGGGGTATGGGTTTCTATTGGGGTGACTGAACTGTTCTGAAATTGACTGAGGTGGTGGTTGCACAACTCTGTGAATATAATAAAAAACTCTGAATTGTACACTTTAAATATGTGAATTGTACGGTATGTATTATATCACAATAAAGCTGTTTTTAAGAAGCAATTATACTATGTAATGGCTCTTAACTAAACATTCAAAGAATTATTTAAAGCTATAAATAAAACTGAAAGCTGCATCAATATTGTCAGTGTGAATCACAGAAAAAATGACTGTAACAATATGCACCTCTTACACATTTAGAATGCAATTTAAAAGATGAGAAATGAATGTAAAATGTCCTAGTATAAAACTACTTACTGTCGCTCCATGCTGGCTATTTCCTGATTATCTTCTTTAACCTATAAAGGCATAAAGAGAAAACAGAATTTAAAGAATTACTCATTGTTAGGCTATCTTAAAGAGATTTTCCTTCTAGGGTGTGTACTAAAATATCAAATCTAGTCGCTTTAAACTTATTTCTTGAAATTCAGCCTTTGAAGTTAAAAGGAACATCATTAGGGAACTATTCACAGATTTTTCTTTCCTCCGCAAAGGAAGAGTGGTGACTGATAAATATCCATACCTATCCACGTGGCACCAAGAAGTTAACACATCTTCAGGCCTGGATCAATTTACATAAATATCTAGGACTTTTGAGCCTGTCTCCCCCGCCCTGTTCCCCCTGCTCCCCACCCCCAACCCACGCACACGGTAGGGCTGCCAGATTTAGCAATCCCCGTTACATTTGAATTTCACAAAAACAATGAATAACTTTTGTGGTATGTATTTGGAATACACTTATTGTCCTTACGTGTATATTTATTCTAAAAGATTATTCACTGCTTATCTGAAATTCAAATTTAACTAGTCATTCTGTATTCTATTTAGAAATTCTATACGAAGATCACACTCTTCGTCCCCTGCCTTCAATGATCTCTTTCCAAGGAACTTCAGAGATTCTAGATTTTGATACCTTTCTAGAATGATTCTAACACTTAAATAGCTCCTGAGTTGATCCCTAAGGTTCCTACAAACCCACTGGATTCAATCTAAGACCACAAAGGAGTCCCATTTGTAGGTTCCTGACTAGAGGTGCTCCCAAATATATAGGCTCCTAAGGGCTGTATATTTAGGGTGTCTCAGGATAAACAATAGGCTAAATTAAAGCGAGCCTTGGGATAGTAAGAAAGCTACTGAACACATGTGACATAACATGGTGACATACTGTGATTTCACAGGACATTTTAATTCCATTCACTTCATGGTGGCACTGATAGAAATAACCACACAAAGTCATCAGCCTTGGGGCACTTCATTTTCTAAATATGAGGCCCAAAACAAATAATGGAATACATCTTCAATAAGATTAATTATTTACTGACCAATAAGAAGAGTCTCAAGTTTTTCTTATAAGGATCCAAAACATGAAAAAATGACCAAAATATGCATGAAGACCATATAAAATTAGGATTTAAGCAAAAAAAAAAAAAAAAAAAGTTTATTTGAGAAATGACTTTTACCTAGATCTTCTTAGTCAAGCAGTTCATATTAATTTAGATGGAGTTCACTTTTCACTGTTTTTTAAGAAAATAAACTTATTAGTTTTATGTTCAATTCATATGCCTTAAATAAAACAGACTGATACATTTACCAAATCCTGACATATTAAAATACATATGTTTGTTTTTCCTACCTGCTTAAGTAATCTCTCTCTCTCTTCCATTGGGGATCCCATGCTTTTGTCTTCCGCAATCATTTGATCTCGATGAGACTCCAACTCATAAAGTTTTTCATGCAACAATACAGCCTCCTGTTTTACCTGGGAGTGTGCTATTTCCTGAAGAGAATTAAAATAATTTTAGTATTTTATCAAAAACTATTCAAATAGTTTTCAGTTTATAAGACTATGGACAAATTTAAACTACCAGCATCTTTAAATAGAGATATCAAGAACCTAGAGTATTCAATAATGCTACAAAGTACGTTTCTAAACATTGAAGAATAAAAATAAATCCCTATATACTTTCATAAGCAATTTTCAGCCTAAGGTTCACAAGAAGGTGGTAGTTTTAGTTTATTTTCTAAATATAAGACCTAAACAAAGATAAAGACATCTCTACCAATGGGAAGATAATAAAGAAAATGTAACGATGTATGTGTAACTTTAACCACAAAACCCAATCCAAAATCCAAGGAACTGATCTCTAGAGGGAAGATATTTTCCCCTGAATAGATCATATATATGCTTTCCTACAAGTTTATGGGTTGAACTATATCCCCCCCAAAATGTATGCTGAAGGCCTAATCTCCAGCACCTGTGAACATGACCTAATTTGAAATGGAGTCTGTGCAGATTTAATCAAGTTAAGATTATCTTGAGGTCATTAAAGTGGACCTTAATCCAGTATTAACTACTCTTTATTAGAAGAGAAGAGATAAAAAACAGAGACACCCGAGGAGAATGCCATTTGATGATACAGGTAAAGAATGGAGTGATATAGCTACAAGTCAAGGAACAAATGCCAAAGATTGACAGCCAGCACCAGAAGCTAGGAAGAGGCAAGGAAGGATTCTACCTAGTGTCCCAGAAGAAGCAAGTCTTTGATTTTACACTTTTAGCCTCCAGGACTACAAGAAATTTCTGTTGTTTCATGTCACCCAGTTTGTGATACTTTATTACAGCAGCACTAGGAAACTAATAGACATGAGTAGTAAAATTATCATGTATTCACCACTGTTCTACTGTTCACAGAGAGAAAATAAGGGATGTGATAATTTTAAAAGATAACCAAAAGAGCTAGGGATGTTGGTGGTAGTGGTGATGATGATGATGAAAATGACATTTGAAGCTGTTATTTATTGAGCACGTATTCTGTGCCAGGCACTATACTTCATATTTTTTATATACTATCTCTAACACGCAAAGCAACTCTGTAAGATAGTACTATCATCTCTGTTTTACAGATGAGAAAACTGATGATCTGATATCTAAATAATTTTTCTAAGTTAACAAAAATAACAGTTAATCATGAAAAAAAAAAGTTAATGATATCTGAAACCAGGCTCACAGTATGAACAATATTTTTAACAGGGGAGACCTCCTCCTTTTTGAAAGCAAAAGAGAAGGAATCTTAAAAAAAGGAAAAAGTGAACAAGAGGAAATGTTTGAAAGTCCATAGGCAAAGGGCTATATACACAGCTTAAGTAATGTATTAGCTTCAGGTGAAAAGGCATGATAATAAAATACCGATAGAAAAAATGCAGACATTTTGATGTATCCCTTTTCATAGTACCTCCCCCGTCCCTTTTGCTTAACTACCTATAGACATGTTCATCATTGCATCTTGATAAAACCACTCCTGAAGACTCAAGCTCATGTTGATCTTTCGCCTGATCTTTTTCACACTCCTATGAACTGAATCAGCAATACTTAGCACAGTAGGGAGCATACAGCAGATATGCAATAAACACTACTTGATTGATATTTGACAAAATGTTATCTTGAAGAACAAATCTCCCCCCCCACCAAAAAGACCCACAAAGGAATCCAGCTAAAGTTAAACAGAATTAGGATCTACATTTTCATTTGAGAATACTGTAAATTTTTTAAAATTCATGTAATTTTAGGCATACATGTACTAATGCCAAAGTAGAGTGGCATCAATAGAAACACTAACTCCAAGGTTATACCCTACACCTCTTCCTGTGGAAACTAAATCTGCCAATGAAATAAGACCTAACTCTCTCCTACACACCCTAAAAAAAGATAGTGAGGAATTCTGAAAGCTGGCTGTATTAATACTATATAAATGCAGTCCTTATTCCTTGAAGCATATTTTTATTACCACAGAGATCAAAGAAAATAAAAATTCTGTGTACCCACATGCAGACATATGGATATAGAAAATCATCTTAATATTTTTAAGCAAACTAGTTTTTTCAATAGCAAATTTCCAAAAGAATGATTACAAAATACTCATGGTTTATTTCTTTTGCAAGCTAGGTGAAAGCAATCATGTCAATTTACAATTGTTACTAATCCTATCATCGTTATAGCTACCTGAATACATAGGAAATCAAGAAAGGCAGGCAAGATTTGATGTACAGACAATGGGAAGGTAGTTTGCAGAAAAAGAATACATTGGCCAACAAATATATAAAGAGATACTCAACTTTTTTGTATAAATAAATGAAAATTAAAACAAGATACTAATTTTAAACTATTAAACTAGTAAAAATGGAAAAGGTGGATGGATAATGCAGCTGTTAATGAGTACGGGGGAAATAGGCACTCTCATACATTGAGATTAGGAACAGAAAATGGAACTTTTTTGGAAGGCAATTTGGCAATGTTACAACGTTTTCGAAGTTTGTACCTTCCGACCCAATGCAAAAAATTTATCTTAAGATACACTCTTAGTAACTTTGCATAAAATGTGTTTTCACTACAGCATTGTTTTATAACCTCAAAAAACTATCAATATAAACAACCTAGTCATCTACAAGGCTGTGGTATATATAGTCATACAATGTAATACAATGCAGTAATTTCAAAAAATGAGAAAGATATCTTAAGAGCTGACATGAATAGACATTCAAGAGAGAATGTTAGGTTAAAAAAAAAAACCTGCAGACAGCATATCCAGTGTACATCGCACTTAAGGTTTTTCTCAACAGTAAAATGAAGGTAGGATTATAGGATTGCTGTGAAGATAAAATGACAATGCTGGTGACATATGTAAAGAGCTCAAAAAAAGCACATAGTAATCATTCAATAAATGTGAGAGCAGTTCTGTCTGGAAAGAGGGAAAAGAAATAGGCATTTTTACTTTCATCATATTCAATTTTTTAATAAAAAACATGTTTTGTGAATTTAAAAACGCTTTAAATAAACAAATAATAAAACAAATGCAAGCTTTTACATCTTTAAAGTAATGAACTGACTTCTCCGTCTTCACTTGTCTTTAGTCTCTTGCTTGTATGTTTTCTTTTTTTAACATCTTTATTGGAGTATAATTGCTTTACAATGTTGCGTTAGTTTCTGCTATATAGCAAAGTGAATAAGCTATATGTATATATATATATATCCCCATATCCCCTCCCTCTTGCGTCTCCCTCCCACTCTCCCTATCCCACCCGTCTAGGTAGTCGCAAAGCACCGAGCTGATCTCCCTGTGCTATGTGGCTGCTTCCCACTAGCTATCTATTTTACATTTGGTAGTGTATGTATGTCAGTGTTACTCTCTCACTTCGTCCCAGCTTACCCTTCCCCCTCCTTGTGTCCTCAAGTCCATTCTCTAGTCTGCATCTTTATTCCTGTCCTGCCCCTAGGTTCATCAGAACCATTTTTTTTTTTTTAGATTCCATATATATGTGTTAGCATACGGTATTTGTTTTTCTCTTTCTGACTTACTTCACTCTGTATGACAGGCTCTAGGTCCATCCACCTCACTACAAATAACTCAATTTCATTTCTTTTTATGGCTGAGCAATATTCTATTGTATATATATGCCACATCTTCTTTATCCATTTGTCTGTCAATGGACACTTAGGTTGCTTCCATGACCTGGCTATTGTAAATAGTGCTACAATGAATATTGTGGTACATGTCTCTTTTTGAATTATGGTTTTCTCAGGGTATATGCCCAGTAGTGGGATTGCTGGGTCATATGGTAGTTCTATTTTTTGCTTTTTAAGGAACCTCCATACTGTTCTCCATAGTGGCTGTATCAATTTACATTCCCACCAACAGTGCAAGAGGGTGTCTTTTTCTCCACACCCTCTCCAGCATTTACTGTTTGTAGGTTTTTTGATGATGGCCATTCTGACTGGTGTGAGGTGATACCTCATTGCAGTTTTGATTTGCATTTCTCTAATGATTAGTGATGTTGAGCATCCTTTCATGTGTTTGTCGGCAATCTGTATATCTTCTTTGGAGAAATGTCTATTTAGGTCTTCTGCCCATTTTTGGATTGGGTTGTTTGTTTTTTTGATATTGAGCTGCATGAGCTGCTTGTATAGTTTGGAGATTAATCCTTTGTCAGTTGCTTCGTTTGCAAATATTTTCTCCCATTCTGAGGGTTGTCTTTTCTTCTTGTTTATGGTTTCCTTTGCTGTGCAAAAGCTTTTAAGTTGCATTAGGTCCCACTTGTTTATTTTTGGTTTTTTTTTCCATTTCTCTAGGAGGTGGGTCAAAAAGGATTTTGCTGTGATTTATGTCACAGAGTGCTCTGCCTATGTTTTCCTCTAAGAGTTTTATAGTGTCTGGCCTTACATTTAGGTCTTTAATCCATTTTGAGTTTATCTTTGTGTATGGTGTTAGGAAGTGTTCTAACTTCATTCTTTTACATGTAGCTGTCCAGTTTTCCCAGCAGCACTTATTGAAGAGGATGTCTTTTCTCCATTGTATATTCTTGCCTCCTTTATCAAAAATAAGGTGACCATATGCGCGTGGATTTGCCTCTGATGCTTTCGATCCTGTTCCATTGATCTATATTTCTGCTTTTGTGCCAGTACCATACTGTCTTGATTACTGTAGCTTTGTAGTATAGTCTGAAGTCAGGGAGCCTGATTCCTCCAGCTCCATTTTTCTTTCTCAAGATTGCTTTGGCTATTCGGGGTCTTTTGTGTTTCCATACATTGTGAAATTATTTGTTCTAGTTCTGTGAAAACTGCCATTGGTAGTTTTAAATTACCATTAGATTTTGTGTGCCTCAGCAAGGCAGAATGATTTTTGTACAGGGTAGGTACTCAATAACTGAATCTGCTTTCTTACTAAACTAAGATATTTGCAGTCCTGAATAGGAAAAAAAATTATTACATTTCTATTAGTAAACTACTAAATAAATATGTACCTGAATGAGTTCCATTAATATATTTAACTGGATTTTCTTTTGTAGCTGAGTAATATGAAAACTTTTACTTGATTTTTACTTACAGATTCCAAGCTCTCTTTTTTCATGTTCAGTGAATCTAGTTGTTGCTGAAGTGTATCTAATTCCTAAGAAGAAGGAAAAAAAGCAAATATATAGGCAAATTACATTAAGAATAATTTCTTTCTCAACATTTCAAATACAGATGTGACAAAGTAAATTTTGTAAATGTTTTCAACCCATATCTTAAAATCTGACTAGAATTTATTAACATTCATTATTTCTATTTTTGCCAACTTATTTCATTATTACTAAAAACCTTGCCAAGATCTACCTTTTAAAATACTTATGAGCTTTTTAAAAGGAGCCAGAACTTTTCACAGCGAATCATCACTGTATTCTGAGAATATCAAATATCAGAAGACTTCAAATTAATGATGGTACTGTTTAAAGTTATAATTTTTATTTGTCTTTTTAACCATGTTTCCATATCTTTTGCCTATTTTCTTTTAAGGCCAAGACCTGTAGCCATTTATATGGCTCACTCTTAGGGATAAGACCCTTGAACTGTTTATAGTTGACCCCTGAATAATACAAGTTTGAGCTGCATGGGTCCAATGACATGTGGATTTTTTTCAAGAAATACGTACTACAGTACTACTCAATCCATGGATGGTTTAATCCGTGGATGTGGAACCTTCAATACTGAGGGTCAACTATAAATTATACACAGACTTAAACTGCACAGGGGTCAGTGTGCCTAACACCCAAGTTGTTCAAGGGCCAACCAGACCCATTCAAACACCCTGTGTGATATTAGCTATATTTTGATAATATTTTGGCATTTTTATAATATTCTTTCATCAATGTTTCATTATATGTTATAAATTCTGTCTCAAATAAAAAGTTACATTAAAATTTCAATAAAGGATTATCTGAGAAACTAGAACTACATTCATTATTAGCATTTGCAGGGACTAATTCTCTGTTAACTGGTTAAGGGATATCTGGACATGAAAGGGCACTACCTTGTAAATCTGAGTCACCACCATGACTGAATGTTGAGAGGATTCTCAATAATCCCTCAGTAGGCATCCAAATTTCTTATTTAAACACCATAATTAGGGGACAAAAGCTGTTCAAATTAAGGACATAGCAAGTAAACGACTTGCTGTTTATTAGGCAGGAAGAAAAGGAAAGAAAGTAAATATCCATATGGCTCTGGTGTATGAGGACTTTTAATGTTTTCATTAAAAGTTCATTAAAAAACAATTGTTTCATGTATCTTTATGACCTGCAAAAATGAATGATGCATAGAACTGAATAACAGAGTAAAAGCTAGGTCATTATGCAACATAAGAAAATGAAATTTTCTAGATCAGTGCTTCCTAAATTCAAATGTCCATATGAATCATCTTGTTAAAATGAAGACTCTGATTAGTAGGTTTAGTCAAGCTCTCAGGGGATGCCAATGCTGCCCACCTTCAGATCACCTTTTTAGTAGTAAGACTGCTATATGCCCAGCACACAGTAGTAATTAGTATTACCTGCAACAATTTCTCATTCATGGTTTTCATTTCTATATACTTGACTTGTTTTTCTGGAGGCATATTTTTGATAATGCCCTCTGCTGCTTGTTTTTCCTGTTCAGTTTCTTCTTCTACACTTCTAATTTGTTTTTCCTTCCTGAAATCAAAAGTATACAATATTCCTCTTAGAATATTGAGGGGAAAAATCAATTAACTTTACTCAGTCTCAATTAAATAGGATACTTAAAAGTTATTTAACCATAGTTTGTGATCTAAAAGTCCTTATAGATGTACACAAAAATTTTATTTGACCTGTACAAAATTTGGCCCCATCAACACAGACTTATTGGGACTTCCCTGGTGGTGCAGGGGTTAAGAATCCGCCTGCCAATGCAGGGTACACGGGTTCAATCCCTGGTCCAGAAAGATCCCACATGCTGCAGAGCAACTAAGCCCGTGAGCCACAACTACTGAGCCTGCGCTCTAGAGCCCGCGAGAAACAACTACTGAGCCCGTGTGCCACAAATACTGAAGTCTGCATGCCTAGAGTCCATGCTCCACAAGAGAAACCACCACAATGAGAAGCCTGCTCACCGCAACAAAGAGGAGTCCCAGCTCACCGCAACCAGAGAAAGCCCGCGCGCAGCAATGAAGACCCAACGCAGCCAAAAACAAATAAATTTATAACAAAACAAAACACAGACTTATTTTACATCTTTCTCTTCTCAATCCCCAAATCCTTGTATTCCTTATTCTCCGCTTTACTTTCTTATAAAAAACCACAAAGATTATCACAGAAAATCCTTAAAGTCTTATACATATGAGAATGTATTTGCACTTTTCGTTATCATACCCTCAAGACAAACAAGAGAGTTAAATTTTAGAATAGTGGTTTTCAAGTATCTTTTAGCTATAGAATTCTTTGACCAAATGAAATCTTGCATGGAAGTTTACCACATAAATCATCTCAAGTAACACAGCTCTGACTGCACTGGGGAGTAGGAAGACCAACAGTACAATTTGATTAAAAAATTCATAGCTTTAGATTAATATATTTTGCTTAAATTCCCTTTTATCTACTGCTTTAATTAAAACTGGTATTGATATTTCACAAATTATCAACTGTACTTTAGCACTGCAAAATAATAAGCTAATTTCCTTGAAAATATAACAGGAACATTATAAGTTTAATCATGTAAGTAGTAGTAATGAAATTAATTACAAACAATAACCATCTTTATCATATAATCACAAGAAATACCAGTGATGTGCCACTTATTACCATGCAAGATCAATTATAAATAGGGTAAAGAAAAATTCTGAAAAAATTAGAGGTAAGATGCTAGTTATCATGTAAATACTTCAAGATTTACATATAAAAAGCTTGCTTGAAGATAAATTCTCAGTCTCAATATCATAAATTTCTACTTTGAGTTTCAAAATATAATTATTCCATTCAATCTCTTTCAAATGTAGATATCATTAACAGTTTTCACAATCACTAACTGAGCCTCATAGATCCACATATCTATCCTCCACACACTTTACGCATTCATACCCTAGTACCAGAATAAGATAATCTAAACTCAGAAATTTTCCTACAGAGAGCATCTCATAATAACCAAATAAAAGATGAACATAATGAAACAGACAACCTGGAATTTCTATTTATTTTTGTCTCATTATTGAACAGGAAGTGATGTCTTCACTTTGAGCCTCAATCACTATAGCATAAAAAAATGTGTCTGCTGCTGCTACAATTTACACGGGTATATGCGTGCGCTTATAGAAATTTCAAACAGAAAAGATCATCTATTTCAATCTCTTTGTTTCACAGATTAAGGATACTGAAGCCCAGAGAAGTTTGTTAGATCTAACTCATTCTGAACTCCATGATTATTTACTACCAACAATGAATCTTAACCATGTTTTTGCCTGATATATCTACTACAGTTAGATGGGAACTAATGTTGTAAAGTATTCCATTTTACAGAGGGGAAGTTACACAAGGAAGCACAAGGAAGGTAACTGATTTTTTGAAGGTCACGTAATGGCCAAGGGTTGGGTATTTTGATGCTTTGAGCAGTCTGCTCCTGTTATAACTTGGCAGTAAAACTACCAATGATGGTGTCATAAAAATGAGTAAACAACAAAGTTGAAACTCAGTGGAATACAAAACTTGGTGGAATCTTTTCAACTTGAATCTTTCAAAATACAAAATACCTTTAGGATCAACACTTAAATCACTTTAGCAATGTATCTTTCAAATTATGCATTCTCAATATTATATACTTTAACTCACAAGTAAATTTGTTAATATTTAAATTTTTTAAGAGTAATTAAGAATCACAAAGGTTAAGCAAGTCACCTTAGTTGTTACACTAAAAAAGTCAAAGATGACTTTAAGAAATTATTCTTCTAGTCAATCTTTTGCTAAGGAAGTCTAGTTTCCTTCTGTTTTGTTTTTTCCACCTGTTCACGGTACAAAGGTTAAAACAAAGTGAAATAAAATCATATGACATACTTTTTTTTAATGGTGTGGAAGAAAGAGAGTACATTCCTTACACACCAGTCTCAGAGACAAAAGAAAAAAGGAAAGGTAAGATCCTATATATTTATAGGTTCAGTGATTACTGTTGAATTTTTTAAAATCATATTTAAACTTGTTAAGTCTATACAAAAATCTCTGTCTCTAATAAGTGATGAAAGAAAAGAAAATATGATTGTATTTTTCACAAGATCTACCTTAGAAATATAAACCTGGGACATGGCCAAAAAATCTTTCCCAAATAAATTGATAACGTAATAAAAATTAATTATTTTTCTTTTGGAAAAAAAAGGTTTCATCTAACCAATCAAATTTATAAGATCTTTTAATTTTGAAATATGTTAATCACAGAGCATTTTGAAGTGATATTAACTTAAAAACAAATTTGTAAGATGAAAAAAGACTGACTACCAGGAGATAATTGTTGAAACTGTGCAATGACTATCCTACTTAGAGGTTTTTTCTTGATAGTTTCCATTATAAAAGTTTTTAAATTTGAAAAAAAAAGTTCTATAAAATTACAAGAGATAAGTTAATTGTGAATTATTAATACCTTACTCCAAATACATTGAATTCTGGTATAAATACCTAAAATATTTAATGACAAAACTATTACAGTATATACATTTTATTTAACAAAACCAAAATAATTGCAGTATCTTTTTATTTCATGGTATAAAATAGTCATATAAAGTACACGACCAAAAACTTCTCAGAAACTTGTACTTGAAACTGCACTAAGAAGAACATTGTTTCTTTTTTAATATCTACCATTTCCTTTTGTGAAAATCTTTTTTTCTGTAATATAGGTTATAGGCTATATAAAAGGGCACTTAATTTTGTAAGATAGTTTTTAAAAAAACTGATATTCCATTTATTCTCTATTTTTTAATCACTAAATTCAAGCCCACATATCATTTCAAAATAAATATCAAATTGAGAAAAAAAATCCAAAGGGAGAAAAAGGCAATAATAGCTGTTTCCTTTTAAATCAACTTTTTAAATAGGGTAAACTGACTCAAGAACAATTTCTGCATAAACTATCGGCTAGTTATTCTGCCAATCTGATGTCTTCAAGATAGCCAATAAAGCTAGCAAATGTTGCTGTCTAAGGATTTGTCTATTTAGTGTTGTGATGGTCAACATCCACCTACCCCATCTTTCAATCTTTCCCCTCTCAAAACATGTACAAATATATGAAAAGCCCCATGGACCTTGCGGCTCAATCAATGCATTTCATAGCTTTAGACCTAATAATGGTTTAGATCTATTGACTGCTTTCTTGTACAGAATCTACCTTAAGCTCTAAGTATATATAGTTTCTAACTCTAAAATTTATCAAATAGAAGGAAAAAAAAGATTCCTTTTCTAACCCTTACGATTTTATTCACTTTAGCATACTGGAGAAGACAATTATTAGTATAACGCAGATGATAAAGATAATAAATACAAGACAATCCTCTGTCTCCATTTTCACAAGTCTCACAGTCCCACCTGACCTCCATTACCTTCTCCGGCTGCTTCTATTCCACATAAACTCTTTAGTTTAGTTAATTTTCTTTGTAGCCTATCTGCTTCCTTTATTCATCCTTATCCTATTTATTTCTTGGGGAAAAAAAAGAAGCTCTTTTCCCTTACCACTGCCCTACCCACATGGGCATCCTACAAAAACATCAGGAAGAATTTCACTACACCATTGAGAAATACTGAAACAAGCCATTGGAGAGGTTGCATACTTATTCCTAGAAATCACTAAATACAGGTAAACTACCTTTTATTTATGATTTAGGGATCTCCTTTGGTAGGCAGTGGTCTGGAATAAGTGATAGCTTGAATTCATTTCTGACTCTAAAAGGGATTCTATTATGATCTACATTCAAATTGTAAAATCTAGGAGAACAGTGGCTTTTTCTTCAAACTTTGATTTAGCCATGTAAAGAAAGAAAGTGGAAAAGGAATAAACATAAGCAGATCATCAGATGGAAGGCAATGAGGAAGTTAACTAGAACAGACCAGTACTCGCATAACAATAAATTCCTCATTGCTAATGCAGCAACAGACTTTAGTAACTTGAAATGAATCTTGCTCACCGAGTAGTTTCTTACCTCCTGCTCTCGTGGAATAAATTTTCCCAAAAAATCATAAGCAACTAATTGTAACAAGTGCAATAAGAAGGCTCAAAAGACTAAATTTTAACCACTAAGGATGATAGTAACAGGACATATTCATATCATTTCAAACAGATCATTTGTTTGCAGCAGTTTCTTATTTATTTATTATTTATTTATTTTTGATGTGGACCATTTTTTAAAGTCTTTATTGAATTTGTTACAATATTGCTTCTGTTTTCTGTTTTGGTATTTTGGCCGCAAGGCATGTGGAATCTTAGCACCCTGACCAGGGATTGAACCTGCATTGGAAGGCCAAGTCTTAACCACAGGACCGCCAGGGAAGTCCCTATTTATTTATTTTTTAATAGATCTTTTTAAAATTAATTTTTATTGGAGAATAGTTGCTTTATGCAGCAGTTTCTAATGTTGACTTTAACAAAACAGAAATAAAAATAAGAAATATCAAGGTCATGAATAAAATGACTAAATGGAAAGTAC